GTAACAAGACAGAAACTGACAATTACATATTCAMATCCCATCAATGTCAGCTTAGTCTACAGGATGAGACAAGTACCAGCAGAAGACCAATTCCTGACTCCTCTGAGTCAAATATTAAGTTGAACTTTCCTCAGGAAGATTAAGGGTCTATATTCTACTTACTCATGTTCATGTATGAAGTCTTACCACCTCCTGTATTTCCATGGTTCCTGGGAATAAGATCATAACCAATACTGAATGTCTGGAATGTGGGCAAAGGTTGTAGGCATATGGTAACTATTTCACTAGACCTAGAGATAGGGTCTTCTCCACGAAGAGATGAAAGGAGCACTTACTGTACTTCAGATTGTACGCTAACCTCATCTAACTTTAAGATGTTAGGGGTCAGGGAAGATTAATTCCAACCATGGTGGCTTCAAACTTGCCATCTTATGCCAATTAAAAAGCAGGGATCTATGGTCCATTTCATGACACTGTGATGTAAGAAGGGAACAGAGCTTGTGTCACATGTGATGCTAATTCCAGGTGTTTGATTTACATTTCATACAGGACTCTCTGTAAAACAGAGATTTTTCTCCTTACCACTGAATGAAAAATAAATCTTGCTCCCTGATTCCCAATTCCCTTCATCAGTGTTTTTCTAGGGACATCACAGGGACTAATTTTAAAATAAAATCCTTTATTAAAAATGTAACATCAAAAAAACTTCTAGTCAAAATCCCAGATCCTCAGAGTCACTTCTCATCAGAGTTTCAGTCAAAATAGTCACTGGTTGGGAGGTCAGAAWCTCAGTGTCTGAAGCTGACTTGGCAAGTCAGGACATGTCTCCAACATTGTTTAGGGGGTTGAAAGTTGTATTTTCAACAGATATTTCCTTCCCCTTTAATCTAAGRGTACCCAACCTAGCAAGATTTTTAAAGGTTTGATTTTCAGCAGTAGGTGGCACTATGAAGTTTCATAAATATTGTAATATAAATTAACATAAAATGCCATGCATATAAATTATTTTAAAAATAATACTAAAATATATCAGAATTCTAATAATAAAATAAATATTTTTCTAACTACTACAATTGAGAAACAAATCTAATGCAAGAATGAGAATGTCTAATATCCAAATAGCCAATATGTAACATTTAAAATCAAGTCATAAAAAGTTCTTTATCATCTTTGTAAAGTACCACCTTGAGTTGTTCTTGAATATACTGCTTCAGCTACTTTGAATTCCTGAGAAATTATATATATCCCATTTGCATAGATATCATATTGCAATAATGAGTGTCAATACATCTAGAATAAKTTATGTACTCTTTATAATATAAATGAGTGTATACTAACAGGAATATGGCAAATGGAAAAGCATTTGGATTTTTCGTTTGTGGTCTAAAGTCCATACTTAACAAGCAGAGACTAGAGCACTACATGTGGGGCCRTATTTCTCCAAGGATACTACATGGTAATGTTACTGTATTCCAAATAAACTCCACGATTAAAAAGATGAAATGTTAATTGAAAATACTTTCCTCAAAACCTTATATACAAAAATCTATAAAGGGCAACTGACTCAGTTTGAGACAATGTTTTCAGAGAAAAAATGTAACAGGGTAAACGTTTCCTCTGAAGTGAAAAATTTGATATTTTTTTCCCATCAATATGAAATAGATGTTTGGGCAAAAGTGAAGAGAAAAAAAAAGTAGTTTATTAAAAAAACATGGTGCCCACAGGACACAGATAAAAAGTAACTGTTAGATATTTAAAAGTCCAGGAACGAACACYGCCTCCTTCCCCCACAGMCACTCRGCCATGTGGTGCGGAGAAAGATGGTGCGGCTCTTGTCCTAGGGAAAAAATAAAAAAGTCTACACGGCCGCTCGGGCAACAGTGAAAAAACCTGGTGGCAGTCCTCTCCTCACGGTGGATGAAACAGAGGGCTCAGTGTGCTTTTCTGTCACTGGCTTGGCTTCTCTGGAGTCCAGGATGAGACTGTGCAGTGCCCACCACTTTTCCCSGCCAGCGCCCAGCWGGTCGGCRYTTGCCTCCTGGTTCTCAGACCGCAGCCCTGCCTRTCTGCTCCAGAAAATCATGGGAGTCGCAGAAGGGATAGCAGTCCAGGGAAAGCCGTTTGCCCAAGCTAACAAACCCAAGCTAGCTAAGCAGCAACAATGTAACTYTCCTGCACATGAGCTCCAAAAGCCAAGGACTGCACAGCAGCCCTGGCTTTTAACTGCYCAYGCTGCCTTCCCGGCTGCCCCTGCCCCTTCTTYGGGGTCACATTAAAGGCACAGGCACCTTTTGGGCATACAAGCAGATGGAATATAGTGTTATAGAATATAGGAATAGARTGTTCTCATAAAATCAACCCAAGACAGCAACTCACAAGCAAATCTGTGTTTCCAGGTATTTCAGATTGTCTGATGACAAGRAATAACAGTATTGAAGAAGTATTGCAGGTACTTTGTTTCAGAAGCTCCCAATACTATACCATACTTCATTCYTCAATGGTGTACAGCAGGAATAATGCAGTGAGATGCAGCACTTTCATTAAGCTGATTTTTGGATTACTGCCTTCTCATTAGAAATGAAGTGTTGATCCGATGGGGCACCAGATGTGAAGATAAGGAAAGGAGAAAATAAATTAAACAAAGAACACAAAGAAAATATATATTCAGTATTCCTTTATCTGGCCTGACCTGAAAGTGTCCTTGCCTTTTTTTCACCCCAGGCTCCAAGCTGCTTGGCTCTGCATACTATTTCTGCACTATGATACAACCCATGCCAATGCCTAAGATTCACACTTCCTTTTATTTTGTTTTCTATTAAATAAAGCATGGAGAAAAGACACTTTTATAGCTTCACAGCATTTTTTCATGAACTGACATTGTGTATTACTCCTTTTGTGCTAACATGGTCTGCTTACTGTTTCTTTTATAATACTGAAAAGGTCAAAAGCTGGTACTTAACAAAAACATAATTTGCAAGGAGCTGGCAGCAGCTACATTCAAATGGTTCTTTAACTTACAACAGCCTGCTTCAGTTTCTCCAGAATCTTCAACAAGAGTCCTTTCAGTTGGATTCACTTGAGTTAAGTATCACGCCCCAGAATAAAGTGGGACTACAAAAATAATACGCAGGAATATACTTTAAATTTTGCTGTTTGTTTTCCATTACAAATGATTCATTGTCACCATGCATTCCACTTCCATGGTATCAAAGCCACAGCATCGTAAGAGCTGCTGCAGTGTACTTAATTCACTCAGCACACCTTCTGCYTAGACCTCCACACTGTTTAATGGCTCCATAGCTCCGTGCTGAACTGAACTTTCATTGTAAGGAAAGTGCTTCCCCTACATCTAGTACAGTTATCAAATATGCATATAAGAAATCTACTTAAATTATAGATTCTTCTTCCTACCAAGGGATATATCAATTTCATTTAATTACAGCAAGCAATATCTTTGGGTAGACATGCACCYGCAACATGAAGGTGCAAAGAACTTTAATTGTTAGATTTATATCAAATTTATACACTTATGCTATTTTTAAAGTTAAKTCACACTCTTGTACTTTGAAGGGCAAACCTGAAAATCAGATGTCTGCTCTAGCTCTGTTTAAATGGCACCAACAGCTCMGCAGCTGTGTATATCCAAAGCAAGGTCTGAGAGAGACCCAGCGCAGAACTCTGGCTGCACAGCACAGAAACTAACCGCCCGCAAAGAAATAGGGAGATTTATCAGGTCTAGCTGGAGTGTTCTAATTCCACACTATTTGGTCCTATTAGATCATTGAAAGTAGTCTCAGAAATGGGCTCAAGGAGGGACCRAAGGACCTGAAAGGTATATAGTGTCATATCCCGTCAGGCTGGCTGCACACACAATGGCAGCAGTCAGAGCCTTTTCAAAGTAGTGTTCAGTGCACTGAATTAACTATTTGGCTGCTGCTTGTATTTTCAAGGGGAATTCAGCTTGCTCTCTAATGTCAATTACCATATAAATGAGAAGTGCTTTAAGATAACACTGTAATAATTTGGTAACTGACACTGGAAAAAGGGTCCTGGCCGGTGGCTTGTCTGCTCTAAAGCGTTCCCCCTACTTTTAGTGCTCTGACACGTGCTTTGTTATGCCTGAGGAGTACAATGTGTTGAGGGGCTCTGACGTGTTGTTAATGTGTGTTGCATTTTAAATAGCTGGAAAAGGCAAAAGGTTGACAAAACGGTATCAGGACTAGTGACAYTGCCGCTCTGAGGGGAACCCCGCCCCAATTCCAAACTGGAGGTACCAATTCCAAACACTTGGTGTGTGCCGGCCCCGAATGTCCCGATGTCTCGTTTGGTGGCTCGTTTGGGTTCGCCCGTCCGGCAGGGTCAGCCGGCCMACACGGGGCTGTTCGCGGGGCTCTGCCGTCCCTCCGCGCTGCCCGCCGGGCTCCCTGCTCCAGCGCCGAACTCACCGGCCTCGCCCGGAGCAGGAGCTCTCCTCCACTCACCGACGACACCCGGAGCAGGGGCTGCCCGGTGGGTGGGAGCTTGGATCCGCGGCCTCGGCGGGAGCGCGGACCAAGTGCCCGGCACGGCCGCCGCTGCTGCCGGGAAAGCCACCGCCTCCGCGGGTCCCGCGGGCGCTGAGTGGCTGCGCGGCCGGGCCGGGGCGGAGCGCGGGGGCGGCCGCCGTCCCGGCGCAGCCCCGTCCCCAAACAGCGCTGAGAGAAGCGGCGGGCGGTGCCGGGCCAGCCGCACCTCGCCGGCCCCGCCGTGCGCCCCGGCCCCGCGCCATGGAGATGGAGATGGAGCCGGCCTCAGGCACGCAGGTGAGAGCGGTGCCCGCGGTCCCGATGCCCCCGGCCCCAGCGGCGCGGCCCKGCCCCAGCGGTGTGAGGGGCGGGCCGCTTGTCACGAGCCCGCGGAGCACGTGGCGCCGCCCCGCCCCGCGGAACGTGCTGAGTCACGGTAGGGGCGGGGCCGCGCAGAGCCCGCCCGCTGCCCGCGGGGGCCGGGCCGGGGTCAGTGAGGGCCGCCCGCAGCACCGCCCGCAGCACCGGCAGCGCGGGGAGGGCCGGGCAGGGCGAGGGCCCGGAGCCACCCCCGAGGGAGCGGCTGGGGAGGCGCCGGCGCCGGAGGGGCTGCCCGAGCCGGGCGCACCCTCGAGTCGCTGCCCCCGGCGGGCCCGAGCGCTCCCGCTCCGCACCCGGGTGAGTTACCGCCGCTTCCCGCTGCTGCAGCCCGGGCCCGCTCCTGGGCTGAGCACTGCCCCGCGCTCTCCCGGGCCGGCTCCGGGTTCCAGTTCGGGTCCGGATCAGCCTCGCATAGAAGGAGCCCGAGCCGGGGTGAGCGCTCCGGCACCTCCGCCCGCTGGRAACGCCCCGAGAGGGCTTTGGGCACAGAGCAGACGCAGCCGGGGTGGCCTCTGCCAGAGCGAATGTCCTGGAGGCTCAGGGGTGTTTGTGGTTTGTACTCGTGTGCTGTGGAGCCTCTGCTCTCGAACTCTGGGGAAGTTCAGTACTGTTGTGTTGTAGACTAGTTGCACAAGAGCTGTGTGAATAAGTGAAAACATAATTGAACTCCATTATAAGTTTTTGTAATTGTACTTTTCTTGGGCTTTTAAGTAGAAACGTATCCTTATAAACAAAATGTTAGATTTAAAGATATAATTCTTAAAAGTTGTTCTGGAGCTGTTTTGATTCTTTTCATACTGYAAAATGAAGACTCACGTGTTCTGATACTCTTCCAGTGTGTGTTGGGGCAATGTAAGCTATACAGTACAGTTTTTTTTAACGTTGTCCATTCTTTAGGATATACAAGTGGGTACTTCCTACACTTCCTACGGGTACTGTCACTTTAGCAGTATTGGTGTACGTTTTTCTGTTCCTTGGATACAGTTGCTTTTGAGTCTTGGACCACTTATAGCTCTGCTTGGCCCATCTGTTTCGCTGGCACTGGGTAGTACAGCCATGACCTCCACCTTGCCTTCTCGGTTTCTTGGAAAATACTGCAACAAAAATCAGTGTCTTGGCCTGTGCTAYGTAAGCACCCTGTGAATTTGGTTTTGCCTATATTATCAAGGCACTTTTGATCTCATTTGTGAGGTACTCTTGACAGACGAATTCCTGTGTAACTGCTTCTGTACCTTCTTCTCCAATCCATTGTGACTTCTCTTCCAGGAACCTTACTTTTGTTACTTATTTGCCTGCCTTTTTCAAACCCTTTCTACTAAGCCACCTGTTGCACTTTTCCTATCTGAGCTCAGCAGCTGCTAGACCTAGCCTGAAAAGGCACTGTGTTTTTTAGATAGCAACTTAACATCATCTTTGACATACAGTTCTGAATGAATTCATTAAATGGAAAAGTCACATACTYTGTACTGTAAAATGTTCACTCCAAGTGAGGGGGAATACAGTGTGCATTTAGCCCCTCCAGTTTTGCAAGCCAACAGATGGGAAGGATGGCATTTTTGCAAGTACTGTACAAGTTCTTAGTGTCTATGTGGCTTGTAGCAATTGTCACAGTAGTAAAGGTGAGTGCAGGATTGATCAAACTCCTTAAGCAGAATGTAAAATCTCCACTTTGTGCTATGTACTTCCGTGGGACTTAGCWCAGCTATTGCTTGCAATATTCTTGTGGATACTATTCCCTTGTACCTCTCTGCCTGGAATGGGATGCATCTCTGTATACAGAGGTGAAATGGAATGTTGCCTATCACACMAAGACCTCAAGCCATCCAAGAGAAAAGACTGCAATAGAACAAGTGTATTGGTGTTTCAAATCACACTTGTGAAGGCAGGACATAGTAGCTGTTCTCTTCAGTTAATTTGGAGTTACTGAAACGATTGCTTGTAGCCTTGTAGAAAAGCTAAATAAGCTCAGTTATTAAACTTGGAGCCTCACAACAAGAGGGGGGAAAGAATTCCATTTCCAGCACAAATAATGAAGCTCTGGGTTGCACTAGAATGGAAGTAAGAATAATTTCAACTACCGSCAAAACCAAGTAGACAAATAATTGCGTGGTGATGTAAGTGTACCTGTTAGGGTTTTTCTACCTAGAGAGCTGTCCTGAAGAGTCTCCAGCTCAAGTAGTGTGATCCATTGAGTCTAAAGGGCTTTAATGAAAAATTACATATACTTTTTTTCTTGATATACTGCATTAAATTGTCAAGTGAATAGGTTTACTTTTCATTTTCTAATAGCCTATCATTTCCACATGAGCGTAGATTCTGTGGGCAAGTCAAACAAGTACACCACTCAGGGCTGGCAACAAGTCTTTCCTTTTTGGGKTTTTTTTTKGKKKTTTTTTTTGTTTGTTTGTTTGTTTTTTTAGTTTCTTGATAAGGAGATTTAATAACCTTATTGAACAGGAATATCTGATCATGATTTCTGTAGATATATCTATTCCTGTATCTGTGTGGATAAAATTCAGAAATCCCATATTTCTGAATGTATTGTTATCTACTAAAATGGAGAACAAGTTTGGAGGAAGTAGAYGTGAGAGTATCAAAGCACTTCCTTAGGTAAAAATTAATTTATCTTGACACTCCCAGTAGTTCTATGGTCACCTTGATATTAAGCTGTATTGGTAGAGTTTTCTTTCCTTCAAAACTGACAAAATATCTTTCAGTTAAGCCAGTGTTAGATATAATGCAATGTAGTATGTTTGGCTGAAATGAATGTAGCTTAGCAGAAGCTGATTGTGTCAATCCATTCAGGAGAACAGCTAATTGGATATTATTTGTGTAGTAAATATCCATCATATGAATCCTGTTCTTTAGCTTGTCTTTAAAATGTGACAAGAATTTACAATTACATGGAAATTGGTGGAAGTGCAGGTTCATTGTCTCAGAAAACCTGGCTATTTCACTTGAAGAAATCCATTTTTAGCACTTAAAGTTGGGGAAGAGGTTGGTTTTGAAAGTTTATTGGGAAATGTTTGAAAGAGACCAAACTGGAACGATGAAGAACATTCACTGTAAGCAGAGGGCAGCTGGATTTTCTTGTGTTCTTTAAAGAACTTGAGATGTTTTTATAGGACTGTGTGGGCGGTTGGGAAGGTTTGCCTACACTTCCCATTAATGTTCATGGGCAAGAATAAATTTTGTGTTTCTATCTCTTTTATTCTTTTTCATTTTTAATTGAGAAGATAGAAATGGTATAATACTCATGCTGGATACAAATGCAGTAGGTTATGTATAACTCTGAAAGACAAGGAAATAGTTGAAAATTATTATTGTATCTGTTGTTGCACCTGAATACCCTTTTGATTTTTTTTTTTTTGCTTTCTTTACCTCTTTAATTTGCAAAGCGAAAAAAATACCTCTTTGATAGGTAGTRTTGGTTCCATGATCCTGACTGAAATGAATCTAGCAATATCACCTCGAACATAGTTATTTTGTTAAAAAAATCTCAGATACCCTTGTGGAATATTCTGGGCTATGTGAGGTGATGTTGAGGAACACTAGAAGTGGAAGGACCTAAGTGAAGTATTTGTTTTAAGTAAAATCAATTCATACTATTCCTTACTAGAGTTTTTCATAAATAGTTGTAAAAATTCGTTGTATTTGTTCTTTCAGTAGCACCAAGAAGACCCAAAACAGTGAAAGCYGTTGGAGTTTGTCATTGCCCCAGTTTTTGGAATGCAGTAGACTTCATAAGGAGAGTAAAAATAATCAATTTCAGGCTCAGAGAAGAGTGAACTTAGGGGAGGAAGAGGAAACATAGAAAGTCCAGGTGAAGATGYTAGTAAATGATGTCAAGTGTACTTGTACCTGTAACACTGGATATCTGATTCATTGTGAAGAAGAAATAGTTTGATTTTTGTATCTAGAACACTGCTTCTTCTGTTTTTTTTTTCCCCTTGGCAGTTATAAATACAAGCTTTAAAATGACCAAACCTTCTCTAAAATTAGGCCAATTTGTGTGTGTTGTATTTCCAGTGATTGTCTTGGCTGAGGTCAGTGCAGTACAAGTGCAGTTATTAACTTGTTAGCATGAATTAAATATTAATCCCCTGCTGCTTGAGTTGCAGCCAGCAAGAAGTGCTACAAAGTCTCCAGGTTAATCACCTGGTTAAAGTTTGCTTTGGCCTGTATCTCGTTCCAACCCTAAGTAACCTATTATTTTAATATAGCACATTCCTAGAGAACTTGAAAGGGTTTGAAGTCTGTTCAGTTTTCTGATCCAGTATATTATACCAAAGTTGAACTTCGTGCCACAGAATACAGCTTAGGTGAAGGGGAAAAATAGGACATGTTGGTCSGCTCAGTCCTTTTTCAGCAATAAACTGGTTTAATTGGTTATGAAAACACTTCATCTGCTACCTCTGCAAATCTTTCAGTCTAGACCAGTGAAAAGTCATGGAGGAGGAGTTGGAAGTCATGACTTTGGATCTGTGTTATCCAARGATGGCCGATATACAGTGAGTTACAATGCCGCTCAGGGTTGCTCAACTGTAATACTTTTATGGCATATTTGTTTTATTAAGGTAAACAATTARACCAGTGGTAAGAACTGAAGGCAGCAGTGCTATCTGTGGTAGATAAAACTGCTGAAAACCATGGAAGATAAGCGCTTATCTGGAACAGATGCCGGCAAATGCGTTTCAAGTAAAGATAGGCATTGTGTACTTTTAGCTTTCCTCCCCAGTAACTGCTTTCTGTATGGTAAAAGCAAAGCTAGTGACAGTCACATATTAATTGGCAGTAGCAAGAATTTAATTATCTTAGAGCCTTAAAGTTTTTTTTTTATTACAAATGGCAGTATTAGAACTCTGTGCAGCACAGTAGTGAAGCTGCTTTTCTATTTCTGTGATTTTTAGATACATACTTAATTTTTCTTTATCATTCTTTAAAATAAGGAAATAAAAAATTATATTCCCCAGCAAATTACCATGTTTTAATATTACTTTAATATTGGTGTTACTTTAGTTTTACCTTGACATCCATATGCCAACTGTCCATTTCAAATGGAGCAAAATCTTTCAGAACCATAGGTTTAAATTCAGTATTWATATGGCACCATGCATTTAAATTAAATGTAATTTGGGTAACCAAGCAGTCTGTAACAACATCTAGTGAGGATAAAAGTATTTAATTATTTGACTGCTTTGGAGAAAAGCRTTTGTCTTTATCCTATGAAGGATCTTCTGTTTTCTGTCTTTTGCCATTTTGAATTCTCGGTGAAATTTTCTCTATTTTCTTTAACT